AATGTGACAGCAGCAGCGAAAGAAGCGAGGGATGGAGTTTCCAATGAGTAGGTAAGGATATATTCCCCAATGTCTTTTTGCAGTGCGTGCGTGTGTCTCCGGCATCAGCAACTCGTGCTGGATGAGAGTAACAGACTTCCTCTTCCTCTTTGCTGATGATTCTTATGTGTTTGTTTTTTTGTTTTTTGCAACCCGAAATGTTTCCGTACAATTTCTCCCACCCGACTTCATGTCTACGCAATCCACCTCCTGATGTTAACCATCACATCTGGCGTCACCACATCCTTTCCCTGTTTTTGATTTGTATGAGGGTATAAAACCACCCATGTCTTTTGTCCCTTTCACACGCCCTGGTTGCCCAAGGTCATTCGCAAAAATGCATGCCACGCCATCCTCATGAAGCGCTTCATCATTTGAGATCTCGATTTACCGATTATTTGTTGTTTGTGAGAAAACACTCGATGCCTTATCCTCCGTAGAGGGTGGTAGTACTCTGCTGCTTTAAAAACCCTGTGAGTGTGACAGGAACTGAATAAGTCAAACTTGCAAGACACTCCACAGTGGCCGGGGACCGAAGCACTGCTTTTTGCCAGCGCAACCTAGACTGGACCCGATTGGGTACAGGCCACTTTTACGAGTAGTTAGAATGCAGAACGGATACGCTTCTCGATGGCAAGGGGAGGAATGTGATGCGCTAATCAACTGGGTTGTAAACAGTCGTTGTAGTAATCACTGAACAAAGGCCCAAATAAAACGTTCCTGAGGTTATGCAAGAATAAAAAAATTTGCTTGTTGTTTTTTGATACAGATATCGTCCGTTTAATACACTGGTAAAAACTGAGATAACGCTGCACAGTCTGAGATAATGAAAAAAGTGGCTGCTGAGCCGCTCCGGACATTTCAAGAAAAAACACATGGAATGGTGTTGAGAGGGGGAGGCATCTGTACCTTTGCCACACGAAAAGAGTATGAATTTGAAGAAACGAGCTTTTTATGGTCACTTTGGAGAAAAAATAACGCAAATCGATTACTATGAAAAACGGTTACTCGAAAGTGATAGAAAAAAGTATAAAAAGAGCAAAGCGGGAGGGGAGGGGGCGGAGGGTAGGGGGTAAGCTTGCAGGTGGCAATCATATTATTGAGAGTTCACAGAACCGAGATGTCCACTGCAGCCAAAAATGCATAACAATGAGGCGCAATACATTATCACCAGCGCACTGAAACGAATAAAGAAATCCCTAATGGGCAATTACTGCGCAACGGTTTCAGCGGTGGGCGACCGAACCAGTGACTCTTCCTTCCTCTTATGTTCCCTCTCGCGTAGCCCTGAAAAACTTTTAAAGCCGCTAAAGACGCCCATCCCTCATCATCGAAATATTTACTTCGCTGCATTTCAACTACTATATTGGGCATGTAAGATTCCAAGGCCCTATCAAGAGCCACAGGCTTCAATGGATACTGTCTGCTCGCATGACAATTCATTCAAGCCAGTGGTTATTGGTAACGCCTTGAAATTTATTCTCTCATCTGAAGCACGGACAATCTGGGCCTCAATTTAAAGCTGACTTAAAAATTTCTAATCAACTTAAACAATAGTTCACATTCCGCCTCATGTCCATCACCAACTCGGAAGAG